CTTATCTTTCCGTCTGAAAAGACACTCGCCTTCGAGAACTGCCCAAGCCAAGGGGCCCAGGCTGCCGCTGGCCTGTCCGTTACCTTTAGCTTTTCTGTTACAAACCTGCTCCGGTCTCCATCCATCTGGAAGGCCTGTCTTGTCTCTTTCTACCCTCATCCTGACCGAAATAATTTATGAGCACAACCATGTGTACCCCTGCCCCTTGCTTCCAGCCCCTTCCTCCCTCCAAACCATTCTGAACGTTTCTGGTGGATAAAGTTCTCTAAATGCTACTTTCAAGCTGCCGCTCTTTCCCCAAAAGCTTTTTAAAGGGCGAATAAGGCCAAATGTTTCAGCCACTTAAGAACCTAAAAATTTGGCTGCAGTGTGCCGGTCCCAGCTACCTTCTTTGGCATTTCAAGTCGACGCTTAACAACCCTGCTCTCAGCTCAGACGATCTTCCAGAGAAGCTGCAAGCCTCTGGCTTCCACTCCCATCAGGCGGGATGCTCTGCAAAGCCAGTCGCAAACCAAATACGTCCGTTCTTCATGCTACTTGCCATTCACAACTCGGTCCTGTCTCCTATCATTCCTACCGGCCACCCCTGCAGAGCTGCGCCCAGGCCGAGCCCACTACGAGCCTTTCTCAACACTTACTTAGGGTTTGTGCTTCTGCACACGGCCTCCCGCCTCTACCACCTGTCCTTGGACCTGCTTCGCCGTGTGTATAACTCAGAACTTCCTCCCACGCTCGCGACATCTGTGCCCCCCGTGGACTTGAACAACAGCTTCCTAATCAGAGCCCAATGCTGGGCGGCAGTCCCTTGTTTTAGGCGCTGAGGCCCACAGACCGTGAGGAGCGGGTTCTGGAAGGCCTTCTGTGTGGCCACATGGCTCTAGTCCCTGTCATGCGTGTGCACCTGTGAGGAGGCAGCACAGGCCGCGGCGAGGAGCGGTCAGCAGCCAGGCTGTGCGGGTGTGAACTCGGGGTCGCCGTGCCTTAGCCACGTGCACTGCAAGTTCGTCACCTGGGACACACCTGGCCCTTTCCACACTGGCTCCACTCGCAACGGCCCCCTCGTCTTCCCTGCATCCAGGTCCGACCAGGCGCAAGGCCGACCTCTAGGAAACCCGCGGGCCCTTCCAAGGCTCAGCCGGTCACTCCCTGTGTTTCATGAGGACGGCCTGCACCCTGGCATGGTCAGGCTGTCAGCCACCTCCAGGCGGCTCTCGCAGGGTCCAGGGCAGCGCCAGCCTCCTGAGCTCCCGTGGCCACAGGAAGTGCGCAGTCTCCGTGGCGTGGAAGAGTAAAGCTCGGAGAACTCCCCCCTGAGCAGACGGCCTCTGCCCTCAGGGGCACGGAGACGCCAGGACTGTCCCAGCTGCTCCAGGAGCCAAGCAGCAAGTGCTGCGGCGGGAGCCGCGACTCCCACTGGAAGAGGCTCCCCCCGGGAAGAACGTATGCACCCCACTGCAGGGCAGCGCTACTGACAACAGCAAGATCTGGACACAGCGGGTGCCCACCAGGGACGAGCGGATAAACGCTGTGGTGGGCGTGCTCCACGGATACCACGCGGCAGCAGAAAAGGAGCTCTCACCCTGCAGGACAGCAGGAGGGACCTGGAGGGTCATGCTCTGGACGAGCCAGTCGGAGAAAGACAAGTATCCACCATCTCACTCACATGTGGGATCGAATGAACACGATAAACCGAGGAACAAGACAGATCCAGAGACATGGGCGCGTGGAACAGCCTGTGAATCTGAGGGAAGGGGTGGGCGGGGGAGAAAAGATCAACCAATGACCTTCCACGCACACATGCCCAGCCATGGACATGCCCAGCCATGGACGGACAGCAGAGCAGAGAGGGCCTGGGGAGGGGAGGGAGTGGGGAGGAGGAGGTCAGTGGGGGGCAGGGGGCATCTGTAATACGTTCAACAATGAAGATAAACTTAAAAAAAAGAGAGCGAGGCTCTGAAACGGCTGGAGGGAAAACACTCCACAGGCTGAGCCCCTCCAGCTCCCATGCAGGCGGCAGCGGGCCCTGCAGGAGCCCCTGGGCACCGCCAAGCGCCCCCGCGGGTCCGGGGCAGAGACGGGTCCTGGGCAGAGATGGGTCCCGGGCAGAGACGGGTCCAGAGCCAGAGGGCAGACGCCCTTGGGAAACTTAAAATAAGTGGAAAACACTGTGATTCACACGTAAAAACGACAACAGGAAGGCCGTTGCCATGGCACAGGGCACGGGTCCAGTCCGAGGGCAGCGCTGCTGACCCTCTTCTAAGTGACGGATGAGAACCGGGCCGGGACTGGGATGGTCCAGGTCCCTGCAAACCAGGTGCTGCCTCCCACCTCCCCGCCCTCCCTCCCCGCTCCCTCCGCTCGCGCTCGAGACGGGGCTCACACCTCCTCGCGGAAGCCAGCCCCCCCCATCCGCAGCGGCCCCCCCCATACGCAGCGGCCAGGGCCCGCTCCCCACACTGCC